TGTAATAGAGGGCCCGAGCGGTACCGAGGCGGTACCGCGCATTGTAACAGAGGGCCCGAGCGGCACCGAGGCGGTACCGCGCATTGTAATAAAGGGCCCGAGCCGTAATGAAGTGGTACCGAGGTGGTATCGCGCACTGTAATAGACGGAAGCCTGGCGTAGCTTGCAACAAACATCAAGGACGCGAGCTCAAAACCTCAACAATAATAATATCTTTTCAAAACCCCCTCCTTCACAACATGCATCAAACAACGACGTCAAATAAAACGAAACAAGGTTTCCTTGCCATAGTGAACGACCAGAGATGGCTCCTGTGAACATACGCAAACATGACAGGCTCCACGGCGCCAAATCTTCGCTTAACATCTCCCCACCCTTCTTTCCTCTCATCCAAAATTAAGACAGACCACAAAATACAAAGAATGGGTTCACAACGGTTGGTCTCAGGGCGCTAGGTCGACTCACGGCGGATGTCCACCGCAAGCTTGTAGCAAACAAACATGCACCAAGCGTGCAAGGCTTCAATCAGACTGCCGAAAAAAGCAGCTGAGCCCATGAAAGCTTTTACGTGGATGGTCTGTAGTGTTTTTGGAAGCCAGAGATGTTGAAGTCGCACACAGTGAGAGAAAGTATACTCTCGGACTTCGGTGATCGGAGTGCTAGAAAGATCAACGAAAGCCAGGTGTTTGCAGTTATCACAGGCGAGAGGGCCTAACAGGCTAATGTCTGACGGGAGCTTGAGGCATCTCAGCCGTGATGAGCCAAAACATCCTTGTGGTATTTCTCGAAGCAAGGATAATGCTGTCGATTGACCTAGTTCGAACGAGGCTTGTGTTAGCGTGATGCTAGAAAGATTGAGACACCCATCAAAGAGGTATGGGGCGAGCTTGGTTGCAGCAACGAAGGTGTTGGCTCCTCTGTACCCGAAGTCTGCACATCCTGGGGCCTCTACACTGCCCAGCAAGTAGCACCCCTGAAAAGAGCTTTCTTCAATACGCACTACAGTAGCCGGAAACTCAACAATTCGAAGTTGACGACAAGTTCGCCATGCAAGAGCTCCAACTGTGTGCAACCCTTCTTCTGCAAGGACATGTCTTAACCTGAAGATTGAATAGAAGGCACTGTCCGGGATGACTCCTGAGATATTGGATGGGACCTTTACCGCTTTCGGGTACTCCTGACCTTCGCTCTCTTGGAATTGTCGTTTGGATTGACAGACTTCCATACATTCCCGGACCACCAGGTCAAAGCTTGTATTGATTCGAAGAGTATTCCATATTGGGTCTCGGAGGTGTTCTTGCGTATTTGGATGCACTAGATCGACTTCACAACCGAATACGTCTGACATGGTGACAGTGGCGTAGTCCACTTTGTTGTCTTCGAGTTCAGCAAGCCGATCGTGCTGTGCAATGTTCATTGATATTGGTATCTCATTTCCTGCAAGCGTGGTAAGTATAAGCTGGCAGGCCATGGAATCTTCACTCTCTGCAGGGGTGCTAGGTCGTGAGGATTGATCTGCCGCCATTTTAGTTTGGCACTACTCTTGCATAGCTTTTGAACAATTTTGTTTGAAACAGCATCCGGTTTGTTTGTGTTTTTTGGAAGATGGAAGACTTTGAGTTCTTCAGTAGTTGTTTGATGTTTGATTTGGAACCTTTTAACATGCCGTAAGTCCTTGGAAGATCACCTGGTTTGGACCAGTGGATCCCATCGGACAACCATTGAACAAGAAACCAAACAATTCAAAACTTGCGGACAGGCCCAGACTTCTGATCCTCAGGAGATGGTAATGGAATATTTTTTTCTTCGTTTGTGTTTTTTTGTGTTTAAAATGTCAACTGATGAAAGGATTGGCTTCAAAGCCCAGATGAACTCAGTGGAGACTAGGTTGTTGGGAATTTTCGGAACCAACGCTGAGCAGAGCCTTGAGGAGCTTGAAGCGCAGTACCTTTCTGACACCTTCCACCAAAAGGCCACGTGATGCTTTGTTTGGTGTTTAGTGCTTACGTTGTTGCGAGTTTGATTTCTTTTGGACTCCAAACAGGTTTCACAATGGTTTCATGGACACGGAAAAAGTGGTTTGTGTGAATGGTTTTCCATTTTGTGCGATAAGTGGCCACCTGACAACCTCAAGTTCCTCGAGCCAATTCTCGGCTCAGCGAAAAACCCGAGAAATTTTGGCCGAAGCGGCCGTGCAAAACCGCGCAATGAACCAAGCCATGTTGGGCGAGACCGGAGCTCCAGGTGCTTCGATCTGGGGTACGGTCTTCAATTTGGCCAACAACATCATCGGTGCAGGTTTTCTGGCTTTGCCCTGCTGTGTGAAGCAAAGCTCAATGGAAGTGTCTTGGCTACTCTAAGCTTTGAATTTCTGCTTGTTGTTACTTCTTGAAGTTCTAAAAAGAGGGTTCATCAATCCAAGGAAAACAAAAGTCTTGACTGACGCAGTTTTTTCATTTGCTTTTGGTTTTAAAGGAGAAACTCTGCTGAGAACTCAGACTCAGGAGTTTTCGCTGTGGCTGGTGGTCTTGGGCAGTGCTTCCGCCAAGTCCTTCTGGGACCTCGCCGTCTGCTGCGAGCTCACCGGCAGGATGACTTACAAAGGCATCGCCGAAGATGCTGGAAGTCTCTACGGTATTCGTTTTGGGCAGAGTTTTGGGTCTCTAGGATTCATCTCATCGAGGTTTTGCATCGTTCTTTGGACATGAATTTGTGTTTATACATTCATGTTTGTCAATGAATCCCATCGAGCTGTGCACTTCTGTTGATTTGTTCTTCAGGACTTTTTGCCAATCATGGGCTATGCTCTATGCCACGCTCTCTTGTGTCTCTTACATGAAAGTTGCCACTACCGTTCTTCCAGAGCTCACAAAGTTTGGGCATCTCCTGAAGTTTGTGGATTTGGGACACACAGAAGCAGTTGCGGCCCTTTTGATCTTCAGCATTGCGGTCCTTCCTCTTTGTTGTTTGACACGCATTGGCCCTTTGTCCTATTTCTCCTCGTTTGCCATTGCTGTGACCTGTCTCATGGTCTTCTATGTGTCAGATGTGTCAGTGAAGACCGTAGACCAGCCATCCCACACCACGGAGCATGAAGTGCTTGCAGCACTGCCAGCAATGACAGTGGCCTTCACAGCACATTACAATGGGCCACGGTACTTCAATGAATTGAACCGAGATCTTCACAGATTTGGATGGACTTTGATTTGGGTCTTTCTTCTCTCAGGGCTCATTTACTTGCTCTTTGGCAATCTGGGTTTTCGGATGTTTGGGACAGACACAAAGAGCGATTTCTTGGCCAACTTGGACAAGAGCGCTGGAAATTGCTTCAGATGGGGATATCTCATCATCCTGTGGGCAGACTTTCCAAAGGTCTTCAATGGGATACGAGAACCTGTTTGCAACTATGTGAAGGGCTCACAAATGATGAAGCAGCAACGCTGAATGGGCTTAATTGGTTTGGGCTTGCCTGGCCTATCTTCTCGAAGCTTTTTGATTACACTGTAGCATTGTTTGCTTTCATCTCTATTTTGACCTACATCTTGGTCATTCATTCCCATGACACACTAGAAGCTATTCTAAATCTGAAAGGCATCACTTTTGGAATTCCCATGGTGTACATCTTCCCTTTGATCTTTCGGATCCTCTTGGACCAGTCGATGAGATCGATTCACCTGCTACTGCTACTGTGTGTCTTCGTCGCTTACATCGAAATCGTCATGCATCAGTTCAAGTCCCAGAACGAGTCTCATTGAAGGATCGAAGGCGTTGACTTCTGACCAGCGGTTCGATGAAAGCAATGCTCACACAGCGAATTTTTTTGACTCAAGAATAACCTCCGGCTGACGAGGCATCGCAAAAATGTGAGCTTATGTGGAGTAGAGATAATATCCAATACGAACAGAATCATGCAAATAATCGAAGAATTCTGGGAACCGAAAGACACCTGATGATTGCAGTGCTACAAGTCCTACAGTGCAGCATGGTTGCACCATGTTGCTACATGGTGGGCTGTTAGCCCTCCCTACATAGTCTTGGTTGTAGCCACCAAAGCAAACCAACCAAGACTACGTAGACTAGGACTGGCCCTGTTAAGGGCCAGTACCAGTCCTAGTAGGTGGGCTTACTGGCCCTTAACAGGGCCAGTACGACCACTATGTAGGAGTGGTACTAGGGCCCTTCGGCCCTAGTCCCTTGAACTCTGCTTCACATTCAGCACCTGCTTCGACTCTTTTTGTGCCGTTAATAGAAGGCTTGTCATGTTTAAATGGCCTTAGTTGGGTTCGATGGAACTTTTCTGCAGCCGATTTTGGGCCGAGCTCGGGCGCCGGTTTTGGGCCAGAAAACGGACGATCCATTGTTTTGGGGAGCGTTGGTTGGCTCGAAGGAGGTGGGGTCTCCGTTTCTTCATTGCCCTCGTTGTCAAGGCTGTATAGGAGTCCAAAGCATTGTCTTTGCATTTTGGAAAGCACCTCTCCAGCCAGTTTATCAGATGGATCATGATGGATCAAGCATCTTCCTGCTGAGCTTGGGTCCTGTTAAGTCCGAGATTGGACCAATTTGAGGACTTCTCACAACGAAGGTTTCATTGCGATGTCTTTTGGTCACCCGAAAGTGTGGATCTGCCACTCTGTCCGCACCTGTGGACCCCGGCGCCAGCCAGGGGTGTGTCCCCGCGCGGGCGCCAAGGCGGCGGAGCGCGCCGCGGAGTGGGATGGCACGGCCGGAAGTGAACCTTGCAAACTCCCAGGTTCACTGGACCTATTAACTTATTATTGAAGTAAAAAGCACCGGATATGTTTTTTTTCATGGTTTGTTTGCTTTGCCCATCATTTTTGGGGTCTGTACACCTGTGGTGACCAAGCTCCCTATTAGGGAGAAACCCTACTTGGGATGTTCCTCTATATATACCCCGCTGATGAACTGCCAGAGGGGAAAGAGTAAGTCTCGAGTCGAAGCCTGACCGGGCAGGCGACGCTGGGAGTGTTTTGGTTTGAAGGAGACAACAGTCACATCTGCGATACCCAAAGTCCAAAGCTCATTCCTAGCCAGGTTGCGCTGTTGCTCGTTCAAGTGGTTGCCTTTGAGAGGAAACATGCTCTTTTGAGGGGCTACGTTCCACTTCCTTGTGTGGGCTAGTGCTGTGCGCACCACAGCCGCTACGGGCTCAAGTGGCGCGGCTTAGCCGACTGCCTGTTTGGCACCATGCAGGTTCGGGAGTGTGCAGCCTTTTGATCTGCTAGAAAGAGCCTTTGGAAAAGTGTTGTCCCTCTATTTTCCGCTTGCTGATTTGCGTGAGCTGGACTCAACAGAGCGCAGGTTGAAGTGCTCTCTTGAAAAGACAAGGCAAAAAACGCCCAGAACCTTTTGAAAGAATCAACCGGAACCCTTCTGCGACTCCGGCATCTTCTGCGACTCCGGCCCCCAGGTTCACCACCACTGCGGTGTTTGGGTCCCTTCTTTCCCCAAACAGCGATGTTGCATTGGCCTAAGAGGCAAATTCATGGCCTAACCGTTGGAGGAGATCATTTTCCTGGGCTTGTTGTCCCTCCCACAGGCAATGCCGGAGGGGCCGCAGTCCCTGCCACCCAGGCCAGATTTTGGGTGGGGTTTACTTCGAAAGTGGGGTCGTCTCTTTTTTTCTCCGTTTCATCTGACATTCGCTTGAGGATTTGTGGGGAAGTTGCAGTTTGCAGGTTTTGGCGAGCTTGGAAAACTAATCAGCTCGGAAGGATGCTACTAGTAGATTGAACAAAACCAGGGTGAGGGGGAGCAGCAACAACCAACCATTGGGCTGTTTCCACCTCCTCGCTATCCTCTAGTTTGTGTTGGACACAACGGTTTGCTGGAGTGATCAGGTATGCACACGAGGGAACCGTTCGATGACCGAAGCATACCACCGCGCTCCTGAGAATTCCCATGATCTGATCCCCGTCATGGAAGATGGGAGAAGTTGCTAGATTGAAGCCAATAGGTGCTCTCGGACAGGGTGAAAGAGGTCAACCCTGAGGCAAAATAGGGTGGTCTCGTTTGGGCAAAGTTTTTTTTTGCTCGCGAAGCTGTCAAGAAGCCAGGAAGAAGAAGAGGAAAACCCGCAGGGGCCCTAAGATGAAGAGGGTGAAGAGGAATATCTTCGAGCAAGCTTGTCTTGTCATTTTCAAGTCTTCGGAATCTTCAGCCACACTGTAGTTTCTATCAGTTTCCAAGTGCAGTGCTTGTGATGGTTTTGGCAGCTTTGCAGCAAATATGCTTTCTGAGCTTCTTTGATCGTAGCTCTTAACCACAAGATCTACATCCGCATCCAAATGTAACTACCCCAGTCCCTAAGACTCAATCACTTCTTCAAAGCAAGTGCTGCAGCTTTTCATACATTTATAATCTCAACTGAAGCCAGATTCAAGCCAGACCCTCAACCCCTCAGGCTTCTACAACAACAGGTCCAAACTTCCTTTCGCACCTACACAAACAGTATTTGGGTCCGGGTATCTTAACATATGTGGATTTATGTGGATAACAGTATCTGGTCACAGTATACATGGGGTCTCCGGTATGGTTTTTGATCGGTCTCTGGTAGGTCTGATGGGTCTGGCTCCCAAGGACGAGGATTCCTCGAGGTCTTCCTGCACAAGGCGACCGGAACACACCGACACCGGGATTCGGCGACCGCGCCCGGAGGGCTCGGGATTCGGTCAAAACGATGGGCTGTGCCAGATGCAGAAGCCAGAAGTCGTCCTCATCAGCGTGTGGTGGTTCATAATGCTTGTCTTGGCTGCTGGGTTGCAAGGACTGGATGAGTGAACTGCGTGGTTGTTGATGGCAGTGATGTGGTTGGGAGAGGTTTGAATGATCAACGTAGTCGCACGTAGTCCCATAGTCCTTCACGATCAGCTCTTCTTGACCAGCTTTTTGAGAATGCATTCAATTGCAAACTAGTGCAGTACCGGGTGGCACAACACACACTTTGGCACTGAACAGCGATAGCTGCTGCCCTTCATAGAAAGCAGCTCCGGGAATGCCCGCTGGCCAGAAGTAGATTTAGAAGCCGCGAAGAGAAGAGTTTGCAGGGTGCAAAAGGAGTGTGATTTCTCACTACTTGACTAAACATTCTGGTCAAGCTGCTCCACCAAGGCCATATAGACACTTTCTTTTGAGAATCCTAGGCCCTTAGGCCGTTGCTCCACCCCTACCCGTAAGAGTTGTGGGCGACCAATGAGAAAGCCGTTCGACTCATCCGGCTGAGGTGATTTACATGGCGGAAATGGGTCCCATTTTGTGGGAAGTGTGGAGGCCATTGGCCTTCCTGCCACCTGGTGGTGAATAACATCTGATGGGTGGGTCGATCTGTGATGATTTGTGACGCGTGAAGAGGTGAGGAAAAGAAGAGCAAGGCCTGGCTATAGACGTGAAGTTCATCATTTTATTCATCCCATCGTTTACAGTTTGATGGATTTTCCAATGAGTTTCTCAGGTTGTCAGCAATCACATATCAGATAATGTACAGTTTGATTGATTTTGCATGAGTTGCCAATTTCATGTTCAGCATATGATGGGAATGTCAATCATCAGCCCCAAATCCACTAGCCGCCCTTTGGTCACTCTACAATAAGTGGGCCGTGAACATACCAAGCTCTCAGTGTGTTGGTACCATCCATTTTATACCTTCAAGCCCCCATCAGAGAAGAATTTAGACCTGGGTCCACACAAATCGGCCTCCCGAGGCTCAGTATCCCGGCACCTCAGACGGCAGTGATGCGGGACAACGACGGATGCCGGATTTATTTGGCCCCACCAATGGTGATGAAGCAAGTGACGGTTTTGGGTTTAGGGTTCGAACCATACATCGCAGACGCCGGAGGACGCCGAAAAAAGACCAGTGTTCCAAGAATCCGGGGGTCGGACGTCCAATGAAATGGTCCGTGAATCTGACGTCACGTGGTTCTCCCGTGTCAGCAAGCTGGTGTGGTTCTGGGGAGACGACTTGTATCAGAGCGGTAGCACAGAATCCATTCATTCTTGGCGTCTGACTCATGGCACCAGAAGACCGAACGGTTGATCTACAGTACATACCGACGGCAGGCCTACGGACTGGTTGGGCTCCAGCCATGACAGACTGGGGTGCACCCAAACACAAGAAAGGCGACGGTTTAGCCGGCGGTTGTCACCGCTTCGCTCGCTGCCCGCGCGTCCCGGCAATCCCAGATCATGTTCTTCGGGATCCTGGCCTTTGCCACGCTTTGACAGCGCGGAGCGAGCCGCGCATGAGCTGACAGATGGAGTGGTTCTCCCAGGAAACGAAGCAGATGAGTCTTAGCAAGGATCCACTGCGCTTGATCTAGGTGATTGTTCAGCTTTTAGTGGGTGATTCAAGTTTTCAGGTGATTCATGTTGTGTACCCTGGAACCCGTGTCTCTGCTTTGAGCATGGTGTTGAGCCGCACAAAGGGAGCGACCGGTCCCTGCCGAAGACGGCGAGCGGCTCCTCATGGTCTCACCCAGATGTCTCACCCACTAAAAGAGCTGGGTCACAAGACCTGTTTGAGGGAGAGCTTCATGGGACTTATGGGCTGTCATTTAGGGCCTTGTTAGGTAGCAAGTAATGAAGCTCGAATTGGAGGATGACTGCTGGGCGGTGCACCAGAGGGTGGGCTTTCTTTCAGGGCCATGAAGACCAGTTGGAGAAACTGACAATGGTGACCCTTGAAGCTTCGAAACATGGGTGGCTCAGTGTGTTGTCCAACACGGACTGTTTCTTCACAAGCACCCCCACCAACAAAATCTCGTACTTTCATGTTTCCAGCTCCTTTGGGAGGCAGGGGGGTGGCATATTCCAATGTTTCCATTGGCCAGGGCAGCATGGCGGAGGAGCCGCCCATGGGCTTCAGCGTGGGGAGCCTGAGTGACCGGGTCGTTGGATGAGTTTGACCTTCGCCCAATGACGCGATTCGCCAGATTCGACATTTTGA